GAAAAACGAAATTTTTTTCCAAAAGTTCGCTGTTTCGACGGTGGGATGGTCGGATTTTGTCAACATCAATAAAATGCCAAATAATCATACTTAACTCATTAAATATCGAAATTAGAAGAAAAATGCACTATTTTTAATTGTAGGAAATGCATTTTTTTTTAATATTTTGATTGACTGTATAGCCAATACATCCTTAAAAATATTGTGCGCGTAACTGCTGAACAAAGTGAGTAGACAAAAATAGAACGATACCTATTGACAGGAGCACTTTCGTGGTTTCCCAAAGCCGGAAATATCGGTATTCCTGGGAACGTGTCGATGAGCTGCGTCACCGTCTCGTGCAACACTTTCAAATTTTCTTCCCTGGTTTGATTCCACACGTCATGGGGTGGTAGGTCACCGGTCCACAGAATATAATCTATATCCTGCAGCGATACAACGAAATTTTTTCTTACACATTCCCTTCGATGTTCTTATAAAAATTGATCCATTTTTATGAAAATACTTTCCTCGTGGGAACAACGATGTTAATCCGTACAAAGAAAATTATAGATATTTTTTTTAACAGCGAAATGAGACAATTTACTCGGAGTGCATTGTTTTTTCGAAAATCTGGTATTAATGGGAATGAATTATGATTGTATATACGACGACGACTTACGGAATGCGTGTCGGCAATGTGCTTCAGCATGTGCTCGACTGTTCTCTTCGGGGTGTCGCATTTTCTGTAATCACCCCATCGGCCAGCGGCCGCCGCCTGGTTCAGGGGTGCGCCGTTCGTCAATCTGCAGCATAACGGTTCGTTACAGTCCGCGTTCGTGCCCTCCTGATAATACGGATCGAAGTGGGTGTCTGAGATATGGAGGACTTTGAACGTTGGCGCACCTTCTTGGGGTGGCACAGGCGGCTTCACGGGTGGTTTGTTCACCGGAGGGAACGCTACTTCCCATTCGTGTAGCGGGTTGTACGCGTCATCGCACGCGTCCCCGATCACGAAACTGCAGATCTGGACCGGGCCCATGGCCACGTGCTTCAGCATGTAGATCACTTCGCCCTGAATCGAGGAAAACAATTGTATTTTAATCAGTCCGTTCGTACGACGTTTTCAATTATTGAATTCGTTCGTTTTGTTTAATCATTCTCACAATTGATTTTTAACTTAAATAATTTCACTGCTCGGTTTCCCCAATCGTTTTATTGATTCAGTGTTTCCAATTATTTAATTCATTCATTTTCCCTGATTGACATTTTTCTTTCTGTGAATAAAATCAATTTGAAGACTTACCCCGAAGAGTAACGTGACTCCTTGGCAAACCCTAGGGGTTTGAATGTTGAGAGAGACGCAAAATTGGTAGATGTTGTTCATGATCTCCTCATCACTCTTCCCGACTTTTATGTAATGTTGTAAAAGGCCGGCGCCGACCTTGCACGCTGTGCAAGACACCTTGGACATTACCGACGTTTCGACTTCCATCATCACTTGTTTCAGATCCAACAGCTTCAGAGCTTTGTCTACGAATCCCGACAGCTGTCCGGTGGACTGAACGCTTTCCATCTCCCATAACATTCGCGAGTAGTTGTACTGAAACGCGTTCAAATTTCAAAAATAGAACGACGAGCATAATTATTCGTAATTTTTTATATCTTTAAGTCTCCAGTCTTTTAATTTAATTTCACGTGCAATGTTAATTTGTATCCAGCAGTAAATACGAAATCAAGCATGACCAGATAAAAATGAAAATAATGCACAGTTAATAACAATTTTACGATTTTTTTTTATTAAACCAGAGGGAACGCGAGGGAAATTAATTGGGTATTAAAACTGAAATACAATTGGAAAAATGCATTGTACAGGCGAGGTAAGATTACAGTTTGTCTATATAAATAGTTTGTCACCACGTGTGATGTACAAACTGAATCGTTTGACTCTACTTAACATTACGTATAAATTATTTATTATCTGACAAAACGTTTAAAGCGAGTGTCGCTCGTTACGAAAGAGACACGCGCGATGTACTTGGTTTCAGTTTTTTGCTTATTTCGCTGAAATAGAAGTCAGTTTAAGGTGTGTCTCCAATTTCAACGCGACTAACGTGACTAACAGTTAGACTAACTGTGCTGAATGACAGAATTGAGTCCGAGATCGTTGAATAGAAAATTCTCGGATTTTTCTTTCGAACGAAAAGGTCGTGTCCGTAATTACGAAAACTTTCCCCGGGGGGGAAAGTCACTGACATTGGATCACAGGAAGGATATACGCGACCGTATCCTCGTCTATGTAATACCAGTGAAAGTATTTTGGCACTGAAAGTGAGAGTTGGCGACGACTCGAACGGGTTTAAAGTTAAAAAATGAACCCGGAAGGAACGAAAATTGTAGTCCAAACATCTCGTCGGGAACTCGTTGATTCAGTTGTTTCAAAGCCGTGAGAAATTGTATATAGAATAGACGATAAATAGACTGCGGGTTTTTATGCGAAACAAAATGTTTAAAACACGATTTAAAATATTGCGATACGCTCTGCGTTTATTCATTTCTAAGTTCTGATCGTTTTGTCTTTTATGAATGTGTGAAAATCCACAATCTAATAATAATCGGACAGTGCGATCGAGATTACCCGTGCTAATTGATCAGGATTGGTTCCGTTGATGATCACTTCAGCTGTCGGTGGCAAATCTCTGATACCGTCGGTGAACGGTAGTACCGTAACGTCCAGCCTCTCCCAGAATCTCTCCCGACTTTTTTCCAACCATTCGTCGGCCAACTGTGTCCAATTGGTCATTACCATCTCCGCGTCTCTCTTCGATCTCCCATCCCTCAACGGGAGTCCTTTATTAGTAGCAGCAATGAATAACAAACAGGCAATTAGGTCATAGATTCAAATGTCCACGTAAAAACGGCACAAAAAATGTCAAAGAAATCGGACAATAATAATAAATGCCAAGCTTTATCAACTTAGTGATTTTAACATGATTTGAATGACATGACAAACAGGCAGTTAGGTCATAGATTCAAATGTCCACGTAAAAACGGCACAAAAAATGTCAAAGAAATCGGACAATAATAATAAATGCCAAGCTTTATCAACTTAGTGATTTTAACATGATTTGAATGACATGACAAACAGGCAGTTAGGTCATAGATTCAAATGTCCACGTAGAAACGGCACAAAAAATGTCAAAGATATCAGACAATAATAATAAATGCCAAACTGTATGAACTTCATGTATGATTTTAACATGACTTGTATGATGAACATCAAATGAATTTAGCTATTTTTTATTAATCTATTTTAAGACCGTTCTGTGAACAATTGTAGAAACGCCGACATACATGTGTTACACTCCATAGTAATCCTCGTATCGAGTATGACTCGTAATCATCGTATCAGGAATCATTGAACCGTATGCAAATCTGAAACATATACTTTCCCGAGAAAAGTGTGTCACGGTGTTACGCGCCACGTTTCGCTCCATTTTCAACTACTAACGAAACAGGACTAATGCAAAGGCTGATGTTTCGAACGAGAGGCTGCCGACGTTTTCATATTAAAATCAACAGTTTCACAAAGGTAACATGAATAATTTTACACATGTACGTTCATGATTGATCGCGTGCCATCATTTACATACCAAAGGTCTTGTGAACGCCGATAAGGAGAAACGTGATGATAAAGAAGGTATTCATTGTGGTCCTCCATCTTTGATTTAGCATGCTATTTCGAGCTCTTTGGTAAATGTCAACTGTAACAGAAAAACACACTGCACGTTGCACTCTATTCTTATAATGCTAACTAAATATCGATTAACTGACAAGATTTATTAGCCGACAATAAATACTTGTGACACTTGGTCGAAACACGCCAGTACTACAATACTAATTTTATTATCAATTATATTATTTTTTTATCACGTTCTCTGGAGGATACCGTTGCGCATTAAAATAGTTCTAAAGCAAGGTCACACGTCCGAACGAACGATACTCGTTTCAAATTTTGGACAGCGCGCGATTACAGTTACGCTTATTTAGGTCATCGACCTAGAACCGAAATTAATAAATTTGGTCAATCTGATCCCGTACTGTCGTCGATGAATCATAAGTAGGTATTTAATTGTTCGCTGTCGACTAGATTTATTTTAAAAATAAAATATTTAGAAAATGAAATCGAATTTGCAATTTCATTTATACTCATGAGAATTTCATTTATCTTCACGAGAATTTCATTTATCGTATCATTTCACGTATTATCGTATATCTGATATTTCTCCAGATATTACTGTACTCTCTCGCATATATTAGTTTCGAGTAAAACGCGATCTGATAAGGATTTAGGGGAATCAAACGGGAGAGGAAAAGAAAATACGGAAACGACGTGACGGGGACGTATGGTATCGGGACTTTCGCCAAAACAGATCTCACTGACCCACTGCAACAACTGGTACACGTAGTCAGTCGCGTTTACGATCGTACGATCCGCAATTTCACGTCGTAAACGCCATCCTCGACCAACCGCGGTCGATCGATCACCGATCATAGATCACGTTTCTAATAACCCTCTCACGCGCAAGTAACCTTGAAGTAAAACGAACGAAATCGTCGATTAAACAGACGATGAATCTTATAATTTAATTACATTTAAACCTCATTTATTCGTCGATGCAAACGCTTGTATTCTTTCGTTTCATTCCTACGATGTAATTATTCCATTGAACACAATAATTAATTTACGCGATGATCGATTTAAATAATTTATGTTTATCTACTACGATTGTACCGAGCACTCTAACACATGCTCCGCATTTGTCGGGGGGACAGAGATAACGGAATAAAAACGACGTTAGGGGGAATTTATTTGATTTTCGTTAACGAATCTGAACGGAGGCAAACGTAGCAGCTAAAAGAGCGAAGTGGAATAAGCGGTTGAACCGTTATTCGACCCATCGGTAGACCTCGCCGACCGAAGAAGCTATACCTCGGCTTCTACACGTGTTCGTATTTCACCCACTCGCTACGAAATCATGGTCATTGTCGGTGATCGTGAATAGTAGCAGGTTTCCCACCTCTCGGCCTTGGGAAAACCAGACTAAGAAGAAGACTGTGAGACATTCCTCACGTGTGTCAAAGTGTTTAATAAGAATCCAATCTCTTTGTCTCGTGTGGCCAAGTTAGATCCAAGAATGCGTGGGACGCGTTCTTGAATTTTTTTCTTACACGCTTCACGTGCCTTCAATCGGTTTAACAAATTTCTTTTCGAGATAAAGAAATCGTTATGAGACGAACTTTGTATTAATATTATGAAAGAGTAACAATTTCAATTGATGATCAAAAAGGAAATGTGAGAAATGAATGAGAATCGAAAGGTAAGGATTGAACAAATAATTCAACCTTCTATTCGTGTCATGGTAGAATGAACGAGCTATTGTGTGGGACGAAGGGATTGCACGCAATTTCAACAAAGAAACGAGAATCTCTTTTCAAGTCGATCAACGAATCATTCAGTAACGTGGCTCAATGACGTTTAAACAGGAAGCGGTGAATTTTATTAATGGCAGCAGACACTGTCATTGGTTCGTGTTAAGCTTTCTGGAAATCCGTTTACGGAAAAGCCTTTGTCAAGTGTCGAGTAAGGGGAACGAGGAAATGATATTAGTTCGACTGGAATGATTTACTTAATTTACTCTTACCGTTTCGTCAATTTAGACAGCTCCGATTATTCGATAAATACGTCTGATAAGAAATGAAACAACCAATAAAGAAGTGACAAGCAGTTTCAAAGTTTAATTATATTTAAGGATGTATTGGCTATACAGTTAATACCAAAAGTTTATGTACCTTAGAAAAACGCATTTCCTATAATT